ACGAATGAGGGCTCTTGGCTCGCATGCCCCCTCCAACCACCACCTTTAGCGCCTAGGGGTGTAGTTCAGGTGCTGCGCTGCGTACGAAACAGCCACTATTCCTGTCTAGTCGACTAATCGACTCAGAATGGCACTTAGGCGTCAAACCAGCTGTGTCATGGTAACCTGCATCCTATATCCCTTATTTCACGGCCTAATCTCGAAAATCGACAAATTGCTCTCTCCTTAAGTTTTTAATACTACTGTAAGGTTGTGTTCGTTCTACAACTGTTCTAGCTCGCAGCTAACATAGATCGGGTAGGCACGCAGCAGCGCGACTAAGCCGCGCGACTGTCGCTCTCCCCTACGCTGCGGCAACGCCTTCTATAGGAACACCGGGAGTGTTGGGCGCTTTGTGCTCCCCCTTTCACGAGCTCATTAGTTTAGTTATGGAGTAACACTTAATCTGGACAAAGGAAAATTTATCAGTTGCCGAATTTTCTAAGATAAAGCCATCAAATAAACGTTAAGGGGCGAGGCTACCACAGCACAATTGATTTGCCGCCACAATGCCCTATCGAGTCAACTAGCAAGCATTCTAGCTGCCGCATGGAGCCAACTAGCAAGCAATTCTAGCTGTCGCAAGCGATCCGCTCCTTAACCATAGTCATGACACCTGTAAACGATAGGGCGTCTGACTGGAGCGCTGTCAGTCCAGTCTCCCCACAATTGGTGCCATCCTGAGTCCGCAACGACGGGCGAGTAAGGCAGCCGCTCCGATCCCCCCCCCCCACGCCCTCGTTTTGTTTCCTATGATCATGACTGTTAGTACATTCACAGAACAGTAGGCATAATAAGGAAGACTAACTCTGATCCAATGTGTCGGAGGCGGTCGAGCTGCATTCGGCTGCGCATTACGCGGGTTTGTGCTCAGCGATGCATCCCATTTCGAGACAGAGCGTTGGCGATTCGATGAAAGTGACTCAATATACCTGAAAACCGCATAAAATCTGTCTTTCCATTAATGAACAACATTAACAAGTTCGTTATTTTGCTTATCCATGAGGCACGTAAATGCAATGGAAGGAAATTTTTCGAAGTTCTCTCATTAAATGGGCTAAATAACCGTTTGGATTCGCACTCCATATCCCAGAGATGGAGCGGGCGTGGCCGCACATTACCTAAACATGGCTGCGCCCCTTGTAGGACAATATCGTTTTGGTGCAATTGATCATGTCTTTGATCAGCAAAAGACAGTATGACAATTGTCTCAAATGGAAATACTCCACGAAAAACGAGCCTAACGTCATGCTCGACTGAAGTACGCAGCCACACCCCACCCATCTTTGGGATATCGAGTCTACCTTCAGTTATATCACAGTGAATTTCGTATATTTCCCAACAGAATGTAAAATTCCCAACTCTCGCCTGTCTAAACAAAAACGGCAAACAGTTGCTACCCATAAAATAGGCCTATGTAAAGTCATAAATTTAAAAGGTAGAAAAGCCACTAAGATGAGGACGTTTCTCCTACAAATCCAGGGAACACGTAAACCGAGGCAAAGACAGTTGGGAGGGGTACTATGCAGCAGCACGACTATGCCTTGTCACTCTTGTTTCGTTTGTCTTGCTACATTCTAAAGCCACAGGGCATATGCGCCACTTTCTTGCTGACGGTGACAAGGTGCCGACAAGCGGACGGGGTGTAGCCGCTTGAAACCCATCGACCACCCTTGTCTCATAAACTACAAGAGGACCAAATGACCTATGCAGGCTTTTCTTTTCTACAATAAGACTAACGAACTCACCTAAGATATGTTTCCGAGTGCAACACACGGCGTGCATGAACCGACGAAGGTGGTGCCACAAAGACTGGCTCAACTCCCTGAGATTTCACGACAGTACGACCAGCATCAGTGATTGTTGGCACAGCTACTGATGACGATGGCTGGAATACATACAGCTAATTAGGACGACACTTTCATCGATGCATATTCTACGACTAACCATAGGTCCTTGTGAGCATGAAGGCGTAGCTTGATGAGCGACTTGCGATTGTATTTGAGCAGTAGGAGGTTGATGTGATTGCTGCACTTGTGGCTGAAACATTGCCAATGAACGGTGCCGTTCGGCTCGGAGGGGCAATTTACACTTTCGTCAGCTCTTCTGGTTGGTTCGTGTTAACTAACAGGTCCCACTTCTGTCAGACTTGTCAATTCCTGTGAAGCTGGAAACTACGGTGAAACCTGTTCGAGTTGGCCAATTTAGTCACAGGAATTCACAGGCCTACCATCCAGTGCCCCCCCCTCCCCCCACCAAGCCAAACTGTGCTCCAATGAGCTACTGGTCCTACTTACCGAATAATGATGTTCTCCGTTAAGGTGAGGTGCTGCATTCGCATGACCATTAACATGAGCAGCCTGAGGAGTTGAAGGCGTTTGAGACAGCTGGGCCAGACCCCTTCCGTACGGAATGTGAACAAGACTAGTTGTCTGCAAATTTGGAAATAAGCTTGGGGACCATTAGAAACTTTCAATTTTAATGAATCAATACTTACGGTCTCTCCATTTGGTGTGGTTTGGGTTGTTAATTTGAAGAAATTCCTGCCAATTTGATTCGCATACACGCTTTTCATTGAGGTACCAATATGTTTCTCCTGAAGTAACAATTGAGCCCAAACTCCCAAAATAACCAGAATTGAGCTAAACGCTCGCCTGGTGCACTCAACAAAGGCGGTTAAGGGAGGTTCGTTTGGAGGGGGCATTCGAAACGAGAAAAAAGAACTAGTGTGCACAACTAGGATTACCGTAAAGGAGATGAGAACTGCTGTCTGTGCCCAGGAGGGCAAGTTCCGAAACAGGTGGATCAATTTCTTTCCGCATTACAGTACTCCCATTTTTGCACAAGGAATACTTTGACAGCCCCTCCCCTCTCTGGGCCCCCTCCCTCCAAAACGACTTATTAGCCATACGACTCACTTTCATA